TAGGCGCTGTAGTCGTAGCCCCGCTGAGGTACAGGGTAGGCGGGGAGGTTGCTGCCCGGCGGTCCCTGGTGGAAAGGGCCCCTGCCCCTCCCACCGGAAGCGGCGCCACGCCCCCCGAATCTTCCTCCTGCCGGCTGCTGCTGATGACGTCCTCCTCCAGAAAAAAACCCGCCCCCATGCTGGGGCCCGTGCCTTCCGCCATAGCTCGCACCTTGGCCGCCCGAGGGACCTCCCCAACCCCGCTCTAAGCGACATTCCTCGTTGCTGTGGGACAAGGAGTTGTGGAGGTCACAATATTTTATCTCAGGCGGGTACGGCGGCGGGTGTACCTGTTGCTGCCGCTTGAAGTACGGCTGATGCTGCTGCTGTAGCTGTTGCGGTTGTTGCTGCTGTTGCCGCGCTGCCATCCTCCGTTGTCCTCTCGTCTTCCCCCTAACNGAGTTGTGGAGGTCACAATATTTTATCTCAGGCGGGTACGGCGGCGGGTGTACCTGTTGCTGCCGCTTGAAGTACGGCTGATGCTGCTGCTGTAGCTGTTGCGGTTGTTGCTGCTGTTGCCGCGCTGCCATCCTCCGTTGTCCTCTCGTCTTCCCCCTAACCCCCATGTTGCCGCCCCCGCCACCACGGTTATCACCGCCAGTGACGAGGGCATACGCCCCCACGCTCTCCGACGCCCTCTTCCTAGCGGCCTCCGTCTCCGCCCAGGCAGTCAGAATCACCTTCTCTACCAATTCCGTCGTGACCTCCGAATGCGCCAACAACACGCTCCTCTGCACATTGAAATCGGGCAGAAGGTTGCGTATATAGTGGACGTTAGCATCATGATCGGATTGCACCCAACCGTACGCTTCTAGTTTCTGGCGAAGTACTGATGCTCTTGTGAGATAGCGCCGGGGCTCCTCCCCTACTTGCTGCTTCAACGAATACCACTGCCCCTGCAACTCCAACTTGTCCGTTCCTGCGTGCACTCGGTAAAACTTGAGAAATTGATCCCACGATTCAGAGGGGCAACCACTAGCTAGGATTGCAGGGACTATTGTCGGTACTTGTATGTTGGATATAATTAGCTGCCAAGCCTTTCCCACCCGATCTTCAGCTTCCGTCCCATGCTCCACCTTCAATGCCCAGATATTCGCATCCGTCTTCCCTACACGAATCGTGTTCTTCGATTCTATTGCCCCAAGGCAACGCTCCTGCTCCAACAAAGATCGAAATTGACTGGTGAAAATCATTCCCGCTGTCTGTACATCGTCCTCGGGGCTAAGCTTCCCGGTGAATGCAGGGAGTGTGATACCTGCGCTAATACGTATTGTTTCTTCAGGGGTTGGGACTTCCCTGTATTCATCCTCCGGTTTTATCTTGACCCTCTGCAAGGCCCGCGCGAGGGTGTCGATGAGGCTGACGTCCGCCGGCGATCGGGGCTGGTCTTCGGGTCGCGGGCTTGACTCCGAGCCAGCCAGCCTCTCTAGCCGGGTGTCGCCTCCTTCGGAAGGCATGCCCTCGCTCTGTCTGTGCTGCGGGGCGCTCTGCTGCTGCTGCTTCTTCTACTTTGATCTTGACCTTCGCCTTGATAAGGGCGTCGATTACGTTTCGCTGCTTGTCCGAGAGCTGGAGCTCATCCAGCTGCTGCTCCAAAATTTCCGTGTCACTGTTCTCTGGCCGAACCCTTTTGTAGCTAGCCCCACCTCGGGATCCCGTATGATATCACACGCTAGCGTGTTAGGATAATCCGAACTGGGAGTAGCTTGTCGCAAGACGTGTGTTGTATAGGGTATCGGCAACTCCGCGGGCTTGCGCCGAGGAGAAAAACTTGTTGTGATTAGTTGCATCCGCACCAACCAGCTGTAACCGTCTGTCGTGTAGACTAGTCTAGAAACTTGACCAGAATTACAACATGATGAAAAAATCCAAGGCGCCCCCGCCGCCGCCGACGTCGCCGCCCCTCTACCTTCAGATATGCCACCCGACAGTGTTGCTGCTATTTCTGCTCCCGCTGCGTGGGGGANTGCTACTTGTGAGCTCGTGTATGGATTCTGGGAGCTACCACGGCTTGAACTCGGCTCTTTCCCACTTACGCCTCTGTTGCAAACTGTGCCGTGGCTATCGTAACTTACTCGCCGCTCGAGTCTCTCCTACGATTGATCGCAATGAGCGCAGAAGTGATCAAATCCATAAGGATTCAGGTCGAGCCTAACTGCGATGAGATCCTCATGTGTCCCGCGTTCTGATGCCTTCCACACATACGGCCCGAAACGGCTGCTGTGCGGGCGCTTCGTATCTATCCGACCTGCCTCTGTCGGCCCTTCCGTAGTTTCCGCGACCTCGTGATCCAGTTCCTGCTGAAGACATGACGGTCGAGCCTGGGCTGACGATCGGCCTCCCCACTGCCGCCGCCGTTTGGCGCTTCGCTTCTATGAGGTGCGGTGTGGTGTTGTGAAAAGTGCGATGTAATCGCGCCGCTCTTGTTCTTGGGGCAAAAAAATCTCACATTCCAGACAGTGTGCCCCCTTGGAAAGAAGAAAAGGTGGGAATTTGCCCCAATGTACACTAAATCCATATGATCGATGCACAGTCGGCTTCCTGGTACGTACGTAAGATGCACAGTAGGGGGCCCCGGCCCATCGTGCCATGATTGCGTTGAGGAGGGGGCACCGGGTGTATCTAGAATGAACGCGGGGTACGGCGGGTTGAGAAAAGGGCAGGATCTAGCTCCTCAGAATGCTACCACCATACATACTGGAAGACACACTCAAGAAAGNCAGGCAAGAACCGAGCTCTGCAGAGATGGATTGATGCGAGGAAATTCGCTGCTCGGAAACTACGGAAGAAAGCACACCCGCAACGCGAGGTGGACCGAGAGAGACACGAGACCGCAGCGGCCGTCAAGGCGGATGCGAAGGAGAAGGCACGAGAGGGCGACCTATCGTTCGGCATGTTCAACGTACGCACGCTCGCCTACAGTGGTAGGAACCCCATCGGTCACAACGTGATGACGGTCATGCAGATTTGTTCCGCGACCGCCTGTGATGTGATAG